GAGCTTGTGATGGATCTGCCTAGAATGTTAAAAGTAAAAAAAAAACTAGCTACAGCTCTCGTACAAATTATGTACTTCTAAACACATTAAAAAAATTAATCATTTTTTTTAGTAGCTGTGATACAACTCGTAAACAAGCACTAATCATGAAAGAGACGCATGCCCGGGTAGCTCAGTCGGTAGAGCGTGTGGCTTTTAACCACAATGTCCAGGGTTCGAGCCCCTGCTCGGGCGTGTATTTTTTTTCCTTTCTTTTATCATAAAAATAATCATACATAAGAAATTATGAAATCTCATGCATATATAACCTGATCATCTGTGTAACTATTAAGAAATACAATTGAAAAAGTTGTGAGGAAAAAAATGTTTTTTTTTACTAGCAAATTGCAATTTCAGTTATATAATTTTCCTTACGGGAACAAATGTTTTAAATTACATAATGATTAGATTACCTACGTTAATAGAGAAATACATCATATACATAACAGAATCAAAGATATATGTGCTTATTCATTCTTTTTACTCAAAGAGTATAAGAGAAAGAAGAAAGTGACGAGGCAAATAGAAGTAGTAATACTCTCAAGTCTAATGTCTTGGACTAAGTTGCTCGGTGGCGCACAACGGGAAAAAAAAAAGAGAGAAAATATCTCATACTTTGCATGGACGTACGTAGGTGCCCTGACAAAAGTACTCAACGCCTACATCTTTTTTATTTTTATTTTTTTCCCGTTTGATTCAATTATAGAACAAGTTACCATTATCAATATTTATAATCAGCATTCCGAAAAAGTAGTTTCAAAATGAATAGCCGATTTTTATGTTGTTATTATAAAAATAAAACCATACGCAGAAAAAAAAAGTAGCAAGTGTACGATCTGTTTAAGTACAAAATTTAGTCCAACTGGTAAAAATCCAAGCATTATTTTCATAATTAATCAAGTTAACTTACTCTGTCTATAGCAAAATGAAAGATCATGTATATTTATGTTGGAGGCTTTTTTTTTGGCTCATTTATAATCGAACAGTATACCTTACTTTCTTATTCAATGTAATCGATAATGAGTTGAACGGAGACAAACAGTTGTAGTCAAATAAGAATAATTATCGTAATTTTTCTTTTCGAGCTCATTTTGTTGTCTAACGGATTTCGACCTTATCATAGCAGTGACATGACAGTATTTACTTGTTTATTCTAATGATTAAGAGACATTCGACAAATGAATAGTAGAAAGATGCTTTTTTTTTTTTGATATAATATAGTATCGAAATTACAATCAAAGTAAAACAGAGGTCATTCAATGCATAATATAATACGTATTTACGCGTGTATTCATTTCATTGAATATAGTTATTATTGGGCTTTCATTCCGAAATAAAGCATTGTGCTACATCCGTGACAAAATGTTCAGAACGGAAATTTACTCGATCCATTTTTCTTCTGCGATAGTATATTATAATTATTATGATGTACAGGAAACCATAGGGAAGAAAGTCAGAGATTAGAATCAATTCTTTTTTTCATAGATTTTGTGTTATTCATATTACAGCTAACTAGATATACAAAAATAAGTTTCATCATATTTTCTATTTTCTTGTCGAATATGAACATTAAATAGGAAAAAGAAAAGAAAAAATTCCAACTTAGGTTTTTAGCTACATAAAAATTTTGTACTAAACAGAAATAGGATCAGCTTGTCAGTATTAATATTGTATTTATAACAAAAATTATAATTGGCAAAGTTCATGTTTTGTCATTATCAATCAAAGCAGCTAACGTAGCAATTTTGTAGTTCTTCCGTTGCAGACAATTTTTGAAGAGTTTCCCGAAGCACGAAAATATTCTTCGACAGTGACAATTTGTCTATAGCTATTATCCTTGAAAATACTTTTGTTCTTTATATTATTCGCTTCCTTTCTATCATAGACTTCGCTCTACAGCTATTAAGAGTTATTGCTTGAAATAGACGATTATTGGTTCTGCATTTAATTGAATTGCGTATTGGTTAAAACAAGAATAAATAATCTCCGGGTACATCTATGAATCACATTCACCTATTCGTTCCTGCACAGTACTAAATTGTTCATGTAATCATAAAGAATACTTATGATCTTAGAAAACAAGGAACTTTGATTTATACTTAAATGTTCTTGAATAGATTTCATAGAATGAACGCAAGTGACCACAAAAAGTAGATAATAGAAAAGTACATCTTTATAGATTATTATATCTATACTTACTGTTACCATTAAAATTTAATGACTGCACATTATTTATAGCTTTTTCTCCGCGTTCAAAATATTATTCGAACAAACCATAGTTCTATATTTTTTTAATGTTCTTAATTGTGTCAATTTGACAAAGTCTTTCTCTGTTGATTATATATAATGGTAGAGAAATATGGAAAAAAAACTCTCCTCATTCAAATCATTAATTTGTCTTAAAACATTTATTTCAGATAAACAAGAAAATTTCAATAATGGTTCTCTTTCATAATAATCGAAGCATGAATAGAATAGTTATATGAATGTTTATTTTCCATTTTTATTAAAAATAACTTTACAGTTTTCATATTATTTGTCGCCACTCCATCTAAAATGCATAAAACAACATCGGTGTCTATATCTAAATGAATCCTCACAATTAATCTAGGCGTATTTTTTCCCTTGTAACATATTGCTAATAAGTTTGCAAAAAAGTCTTAATTAAAAAAAAAAAGAAAATCTTCATGTTTACATTATTGATTTCATATTTAAATATGAAGGATGTTTCATGATAACTGACAATAAATTATCAATGATATGTTTCATATTTTTTCTTCACATTGTAGCTGAAATTTTTGTTGCATAGATACAGGGTGTCCAAAAAGTTTCTTCCACTCAAATTTTTCGTATATCTTTGTTATTTAATTTGAGTTTATTAACTAATTCCTTTTAAATGATAGATAGATACCCTGAGTTTTTATTTCTACGAACAAACTTTATATGTACTGTTCAAAGCTAAGATCTTTCACAGAAACACAAAAATTTAGTCTGCTTTCTATTTTCAGAGACACATTATGCAACATTGCTCTTTCAATTACTTCGGGATATTGAGTGATCTAGATTTTTAAATTCTCCAATCGTTGAACAGTCTTTTCATAGAATTTTATTTTGTTATGTCTTAAAAAAAAACGAACAGGATGGTATTAAATCAAAATTCAAGCAATTAAAACAGACATCATCCATGAGTTTTTATGGAAACAGAAAACAAGCTAAATTTTCGTATTTCGATTAAAGATTTTAGCTTTGAACAGTACTTCTGAAGTTTTCTCTTATAAATAAAAACTTCGTATATCCGCCTATCATTTAAAAACAAATTAGTTGATAAACTCAAATTAAATAGCAAAGATATACGAAAAATTTAAGCGGAAGGAACTTTTAGGACACCCTGTATATAGATTTAAGTTTTTTAATTTATCAAAATTTGAGCTTTCTAGCTTAAACTAATACTGAAATGTATGGACAAATTGAAATATATGAATTTTCGTACTGGATTTTTGTAATATTTTTATAGCTTATTTAATCGCAACATAGTAGCTAAGGCTCTTTTTAACTATATAGGAATATATTAATATCTAGAATCTTTCGGTTTTAATGATAAATTTTATCTTAAATATCCATCACCTTCGAATACAGAAAAGATCTTTTTATTTTTAGTATTAAATTTAAAACACCTAAAAAAGAATCATGAATTATTGATGTTTCATGGCTCATAACACAATTATTTTATCAATGTATGGAACTATTTGATTGCGGTGCTCTATTAGATAATGTATGAGAAGAATTTAGCATGTGTGACCTGAAAAAAATACGCTCGCAGAAGTGTTTGATAGATTGTTATTATTAAAAAAATAATAAACTGAAAAAAAAATGATCGATAAAAACCTTATCAATTACAGTCGAACATAGAAAACTATAGAGAGCATGTCTATACACATTGAGTATTACTATAATTTATATTTTTCTGGAACGATTGTCTTGCAAAATTTCTTTTCATCAAGTGTTTATAAATATTTTTATTTAAGAAATAAGCATGGTATCAATGTCAAATGGTTATAGTATTTTTGATCATCAACTTTTTCAGCATTCATTTAACATTATTATTTGTCAATAAAGTATATACATGCTGCTTCGAGCCGATGACAAGCTCACTCTAACACTTTTTGATGTCTTCATCCTCATTCTGTTATATCTCTCACTGTTAATCAAACTATTTAGTTAAAAAATATTGTTGGAGCTACTTCTCCAAGCCAGCGACATTACAGTACTTACACTGTTGGATGTGTTCTGCCAGTTAACCAATTAGTATATACAGTATCGTCAATCTGGAGAAGAATCATATTTCTAAAATGGAATTTTTTGGTTTCTCTACAGATACATGTACAACACTCACTACTTGCTTCGATTATATCTTAGTCTTGTGGATTCCTGAAAAAAAAAGTGGTAGGCGTGGATCGTGTAGAAGTATCCAAACAGAGATCATGAAATATTGCTAATCGAAAAATATCGCGATCAAAAGTATTTTTCTCAATATCAAATACGCAAATTTATCTATTTCCATCTTATTCATACATTTCAATACCAGTTTAAGTTAGAAAGTGCAAACTTTAGAAAATAAAAAATCCTGATTCGATTTATATAACTGGAATAAAATTTCAACATTCTACGTTAAGACAAAGTATGAAAAATGTAATTGAAAATTTATCATTAGATATTATGTAATATCCTTTACATGTAAAAACTTGTTATATATAATGCTAGAAGCCACTGAAACAGAAAAGTATTTCTTTTTTTTATATCTATTTTAAAAAAGCAGAACGCATTGTAAGAACTTTATTTAATATTTCTCTGCAAAGAAAAAAATAAAATAAAATATATGAGAATAAATAAATGAAGAGGAAACTAAATCACAGGCACACTTGTCTAGTCAAAAAAAAAATCATTGGAAATATATAATTAAATTAAACACCACCACCAGTTTTACGTTGATGAATATATTCTTCACTTTTATTGGAAGCTGATTTTTCTTTTGAATTTGATTTATTTGTTTGAATATTAAGTCCTGATGATGATCCACTTATCATAGGCAAACTATTTGTTTGTTCGGGATGTTTAAAAACATTTGATCTGTTCCGATGAGTAGACATTGTACCATGTGGCATATTCTCATTTGGAATTAAATCAATAGCATATTGAAGACATACACGTTGAACATTAACAGCATCCGTATGATGAAATGGAAGTGTTGGACGAAGAATTAATAATTTACCACCTTGTGGTGATAAACTACGAGCAAGTGCAGATGATTTTGACATATTTCTTCGTGATTGATGAAATGATTTTGGTAATAATTCTTCAACTCTACAAAGAAGTTTTATAAAAAAATAAAAGATAAAGAAAAACAAGTGAATTGAAAAGAAAAATAATTTTTAAATAACCTAAACGAATCAGCTGATAAATAAAGTGGAAGATTTTTTTTCGGTGATTTTTTTCTTGGACGTAATTGTGATTTAAGCGTTTGAATATTTTTTTCTGTATCACTTGTTGCTCGTAAATCATTATGTTGTTCGCGTTCCATACGACGAAAAACACATTCATATGTTTGACATGTACGTGATATACGTTTTGGTCGACGATGATGTTTTTGTTTTTCAGTTATTATTTGTTCGGTATCCGAATGTATTTCACGATCATGATGTTCAATAAATTGTTCTTCAGATTTTGTTGGTTGTTGTTCAGTTGTTTTAGGACGTTCAATTGATTCTTCAGATTTTTCTTTATCTTCTGTTGCTGGTGATGGTGGAAGAATTGCTGGCGGATGTTGAACATGTTCAAAATATTGTTGAGGTTTTGATTCAATAAATGCTTCTGTTACTGTACGTGAAGTTCTATCATCATTTGTACCAGAAAATTTTTTAACAACAACTGTTACATTAACATTAACAGGCTCTTTATCTTCATTTTGATCATTCGATAATTTAACTGTACGTCGAATTGTCGGTGTATCTGCATTTGATATTGTATCAGGGGTTGCTAATATTTGTTCATTATTTGGAGCACGTCGACGTGTTGAATGGAAATGATCCGATATTGGTTTGGTTGCCTTTAATGGTTTCTGTGAAGTTAATTCTAACAATAAATTAAACCAAAGATTATTATCAATAAATGACAATGTATCAAAGATTGACTATCAATTCTACTATTTTTCACCCAAATCATATAACATATTTATAAGAGGAATTTTTCCTCTGTTTAGAAACCAAAACTATAAACTTAATGTTCTCAGTTCCGATGTTGTGTTTGTAAACTAAAATTTAACCTTTTAAATTACTTTTCTATATAAGTTAGTTTATAGGATAAATTAGAATGTATTTAATTCAATGTAGACACAAGAAAAATTTTTATATTTTTACTGTTAAAGTATAGAAAGTCAATAGTTGTTACTAACAAAAAAAAATAGAGAAAAAATAATTTTTTATTATTATTTATGTACGGCTTCTTTTCGTACAATAAATTGAATCCCTTGTTTTCGTATATTTATTAAACAAGGAGAAATGAATGTTTAAGGCTACCCCTCCCCCTCCCGCTCAAAAAATGTCAATTTTCGTCAGAAATTTCGAAATTGAGATAAATGCATAGGAATATAGCCCGTGATCTGCTCTTTCATAACTGATACAAAGCTTTCCTGGATACCTCCTTTTTGTCTAAAATTTTTGAAGATTTTTGTCACCCCCTATTCGAAAAACCAGCTGTTTTTTGAAAAATCAAAAAATGTTTTTCGTTTTTTCTCGGTTTATGATTTTTTTATTTTGCTTCAAAGATTTCTTGCTTCAGTGCCTTTCAATATATATAAATTTTTTTTTGTTTGAAAGAGCGCGTCGAGATACAGAGCACCACAGAGTCCTTTTTTAAATTAAGCTTTGTTTTTTGTTATGTATGCAGACATTTATATAACTAGACACCCATTTTTGGCGGGGTTTTTGAGTAATTGAACTTGTGATCCCACTTTTTCGCTAAAAAGGTAAGAATTTAAAAAAAAGGACTCTGTGATGACCTGCATCCTGACATGTTCTTTCAAACAAAAAAAGATTTAAATATATTGATAGAGTTGGGATCGAGAAATCTTGGAAGCAAAATGAACTATTTTTGACCCTTGTTTATTTCATATCTCTGTTAAACGTCATGAGATCGAGCTGAAAATTTTACCACAGCCTCCTTACTTCAGCCCCAACATATGCTCCAAATTTCAGCCCATTTGAACGTACCTGGGCTGAGATCGATTTTTGAGGGGGGGGGGGGGGGGGGGGGGGGGCCATTTAAAGAAAAAAGACTTCT